GTGCGGCCAGCGTGCATGCACATGAATATGCAGCTCAATTTGCATGAGCAGCAGGCTGATGCATGCACACACAGCTCAACTTGAGCAAATGGAGCTGTGTGTGCATGCGCCAGCCCACCACTCAGCTGCCCGGTTTCGAATAGGCCACAGCCCAGTAGTAGGCACTGGCCCAGGGGGTTGGGGACCCTTGCGTTAAGCCACTCACTCTCTCTGAGCCTAACCCACTTACTGGTTGTTATTGTGGGAAAAACAGAAGGAGAGAGTCTTCTGTATGCTGCATTGAGTCTAATAAATAAATAAGAGCTACTCAGCTCCTATTTCGGGGGCCCTCTCTTTTTTAGGCTGTAGGTTCCAAATCAGAATTTGGAAAACTGATTTTCAGCTCCTGTAGAGAAGCTGCTGAGGGGGGGGGGGAATTCTAGGCTGCTGTTCAGCTGGCCCCATTCTTATAACACCTGTAACATCAGCACAATAAAAGAGCCGTGGCAGCACCATGGTTAAGAATGCAGTATTGCGGGCTAATTCTCCCCACTGCAGGGAGTTCGACCCTGACCACCTCACGGTTGACTCAACCTTCCATCCTTCCAAGATCGCTAAAATGAGGACTCAGATTGTTGGGGGCAATAGGCTGGCTCTGTACACCACTTAGAGAGGGCTACAAAAGACTATGAAGCAGCATAGAAGTCTAAGTGCTATTACTATTGTTATTGCTATGGCTATCGGTCTGTCAAGAAAGAAGCTTTCTTTACACACCAACTACTGAATTCATGGGAAGAGCCAGGACTGAACTTGGGTGCCTTAATTCATGCTCTTCCTATAACGGGATGGCATCTCACCAAAGCTTTTGATTGCTCTTTGCATGGGGGAATGCATGGGGGAATGCATGGAGATTCTCAGTCATCCAGGTCCTGGTTGTCCCAAGGTACTTTTTCAGGAGGCAACTGGACAGTCAGAGCTGAAAAAGCTTCTTGGATGAGAAGCAAAACGTCTTCAAAGAAAAACAAGAAAGTCTACTTGCCTGCCGAAAAAGCATCTTGGAACTCTGCATGGGGGAGGGGGGCTACCAGGACATCTCAGGGCTGTAAACCAGTGGTGGGATTCAGCCAGTTCGCACCACTTCGGCAGAACCGGTAGCTAATTTTTCGTTGCCCAGGCCCAGAATGGACTTCTGGAAGCAGTATCTACACAGAGAACCGGTTGTTCACCTATTTGAAGCCCACCACTGCTGTAAACTACATTGGGAAGCCGAAAAAATCCTCCTCAAACAAGGCAGTGGAAAACCCGTTCTGTATCGTGGGCCAGAGAAGTACACAGATATGGACGTACACCTTGATTCAAAGGACATTTCTTGATGCCTGGTGCAGCTCAGCAGTTTCAGACCATCTCTTGTGGTCTGCAAGTCACCTGGCGTTGAGACCGGCGGCAAATAAATTTAATAAATAAATTAATTAAAATCTCTTCATTGCTCTAACTTTTGAATTGGAGAGTTTGGAAGCCGCAAATCGTCGGAGAAGTCCTTCTCTCGCCTTAGAATACTGTTTTCCAACATGGGCCATTTCCATTGTGTGGACTTCAACTCCCAGAAGTCTACAGCCTGCATGGCCCCTGATGAGAATTCTGGGAGTTGAAGTTCACAGATCTAGAAGTTGGAAAGCAAGGCCTTGGAGCCTAAACCCAGAATGGCAATTCCCTCTTTCCACAAGCCTCCCTGGAGCGTGACAGCATACTTACCAAGATATCCAGATAATGCCACCAGCAGGAGGACAGAAATCCCCATTCCTCCCATTCTGAAATACACAGTGGTTGAAGCTGGGAGAAGAAGGAAATGTGAAATGTGACTGAAATACTTGTATCCATTTTGTTTTTTCTAATGTTATACTCAATTTTGCATAAAAAAGTCAAAGAATTTAATGCTTGCAATATCCGCACCTAACATTCTAAGTAATATTAGAATGTTTAATTAATATTAAAATTAATATTGGTACAATATTCTTTGTTTTCTTTATTTCCAAACCCCGAGTTAATGAGGCCCTTGTGTCTTTCAAGGCTTGTTCCCTCCTGTATAACATCTCTCTTGTACTTCTACCCTCCAAACGACCCTATCGGGCATTGCACACCAGAAAAATAGACACAAGGACAGGTTTTTTTCCCCCATGCCATCACTCTGCTAAACAACTAACTACCACAACACTGTCAATCTATCTAGTAAGGCTGTATTTACTATTATTCTTCTCATCTTTCCTATTACCTATCTTCTTATACACTTAGGACTATAACTTTGTTGCTTGCATCTTACAATTTATATTGTTTTATTTAGTATCCTAGTATGATTTATGTTGATTGCTTATTTAGTTATCCTGTGCCTTTCACTAAATGTTGTATCTTATGATTTATGATGAATGTATTTTTTACGATGATTATGATCATGATTTATCACTTGTTGCTTTTATGTACATCGAGAGCTTGTGCACCGGAGACAAATACCTTGTGTGTCCAATCACACTTGCTCCATAAATAATTCTATCTATTCTATTCTATTCTATTCTATTCTATTCTATTCTATTCTATTCTATTCTATTCTATTCTAGTCTAGTCTAGTCTAGTCTAGTCTAGTCTATTATTTCCTATTCCATTCCATTTAATTTCTATTCCATTTCTATTCCATTCCATTCACTATTCTATTCTATTCTATTCTATTCTATTCTATTCTATTCTGTTCTGTTCTGTTCTATTCTATTCTATATTCTGTTGTTATTCTCTTATTCTATTCTATTTCCTGTTCTATTATTTCCTATTCTATTCTATTCTATTCTATTCTATTCTACTCTACTCTACTCTACTCTATTCCATTCCATTATTCTATTCTATTCTATTCTATTCTATTCTATTCTATTCTATTCTATTCTATTCTATTCTATTCTATTCTATTCTATTCTATTTTTACTTCCATTCTATTTCTAATCCATTCCATTCCATATATTCTATTCTGTTCTTATTCTATTCTGTTCTGTTGTTCCGTTCCATTCCAATCATTCCATTCCATTCTATTCTATTTTCTATTATTTTCTATTATTTTTTATTTTCTATATTTTCTATTTTCTATATTTTCTATTATTTTCTATTTTCTATATTATTTCCATTCCTTATTTTTGATTCGATTCGATTCTCTATATATCCCCCTATTTAGGTTTTGTGCTGCTGTAAATATCCCCACCCAGACTCTTCCGGGGAGAGCCTGCCAAACCACCCTGCCTTCTTTTCCAGCTTCTCACCAGGCTCTTCCATGGCTACGTCCAAAGGTTCCTGCAGGCCATCATGCTCCACGTGGCACCGGTAGTGGCCCCTCTCTTTGGGATCGATCCGGACGCTGAGCTGGTAGTGGTAGGTTCCATCTGAGTTGGGAGCCACGGACTCCTGGAGGGTGTCTTCCAGCCAGACCTCTCCGTCCCTCCTCCAGGAGGCATCGATCTCCCTGGGATAGAAGCCGTGGGCTTGGCAGAGAAGTATTTCCATGCCATCAGCCTCAGTCTTGTTTCTGATCGTCACCACTGGGGGCTCTGCTCCTGTGTAGAGAATTGTCAGAGAAAATGTCATTTGTTCACAATGTTTGATCCCGAGATTCACCATCCCCAGATATTTGCATCATGGTGATGCAGCTATGGGTCTGCTCTGTGGCTCAGGGGAAGCCCTGGGGAACTGCTCCCCCTCCAAAGAATGGAAGGACGCCTGGGTCTGCAACACCCCCAGAGAAGCCATCCCTGTTAAGAGGCATTTTCTCTCTGGGGCCTACGAGGAAACAACCATTCCGTTTTCTTGGCAATCGTATTTATTTATATAAAAAACTTAAGACACCACCCATCTCACTATCATAAGTGGAAGGAACATGGCGGCGAGGTTAGCCAGCTCACGTTCGAGAGCCCGCTGCATGATGGAGGAGTGAGCTCCCATCATTCCCTCCAGCTCCTTAACAGGGATATGAAAGGAGCCCCAAACTGGGTGTCTCCTGGGCAACTCTGATGTCACCTGCTAATCCTTTCAAACCAGAAGTGCCTTTTTGTCATGCCCCCGTCTGAGCCTGAATCTGCGGAGGAAAATGAACTGGAACAGGACCCTATGGAGGCCGAGGGAGAGATGTCTGTGGTTTCAGAGGAATATGGGGAAGAGCAGGCTGAGGCAGGCCAGGGCCCTTCAGGATTGGAACAGGAGGAACAGGAGAGGCAGAGTTCAGGCGATCAGAAAGGGCCACCCCCACCTGATCCTAGAGCACGGAGAGTGGAGAGAAGGAGGGAACAACGCAGGCAGGCTCAATTACTCGGGAGGAGAGCGTCCTGCCCTTCTCTACAAGGAACACTTGGAGACTGAGATTTAAGGAGACGCTATGGGAAGGGGCATTTGTTCGGAACAAACGCTGATTCCTTGGAGTGTTGTATATTGTTGCTGATCTCTTGTTCTGTGACTTCTGTTTGGAAACCTGGAAACTTTTGACTATCGGACTGTATTTCGGATTCTCTCTTTTGAAAAACTGCTCAGGCAAGCTAGGATTCAAACAGACTGGTTAAGTTTATGTTTTCTTCCTTGTTATCTGTATGGCCTTGAGTACTTTCTTATGCTAATCAGACTGTATTTGAACCCACTTTCAGCCAGAATCGGCTGGAGAGGTGTGTGTGTGTGTCCTGTTGTTGGAGGCTTGCCAGCTAATGTGGGAGCATTTGGGGAAAATTTGGAGCAATAAAAGAACTGTTTGAATTGCCAGCTGACTGCATTGCCTCTGTGCTGTGCCCTGGGTCATCACACTTTTTTTAAAACAAAAAAGTGCTTTCAACACGTACGGGGACTATCTAAGTGAGTATGGAAGTGGTTTTGCTCTTGTTTTTTCCTTTGCATTTTTTCAACCTTCCTAGTGGTCTCCCATCCAATTGCCAAGCAAGCCCAAGCCTGCTTAACACCAAAGGGTAGCTTTTAAATTCCTCTTTCCTTCAAAAGGCCACCTTTTTCTGGTTATTCTGTGAAGGAGACACCCAGCTCTTTTTTCAGTGGCAGTATTTCATACCACCCAATCAAGACTCCGGGCAGTAAATTGACACCCTCTCTTCATATTCAGTGTTGCCATCCTTACTCTTCCTTGCTCCAGCTTCTGTGCCGTACTCCAGACATTTCTTCAGCCATGCAAAGCACTCCCTTTCCAGGTACATCTTCTTGCGCCAGCCCCTGTCCAACTCGGCATCCCATTTCTTCTTGGTCATTTCAGCCTCAGCATTGACTGCCGTCCAGTTGAGGGTGGCCTTGTTGAAGCTGAGGAAGTCCTTCCCATCGTAAGCATAGTGATCATAGCCTCTTTCACTCCCATCTTCCGCCAGCTCACAGCCATACAGCCGCTGCCAGACGTGAAGTTCTATAAAAGAAAGCAAAATTAGCGATCCATCGCCACACACTTGTGTAAGCTCTGTCAAAAAGAAAACTTTAGCTCTGATTTCCAGATTCCCTGACCAACCTAGAGGAAGTCAAAGGAAAGGGATGTTGGTCCACTCTTCCCATCATCAATATGCCAAGTTTTTTATTTATTTATTTATTTATTTTTATTTCCAAAGTTAAAATACAAAATAAAGGGGGGGGGGGAAAGGAGGAAACAAGTTAACAACCATCCGATACTAATAATAAAAATAAAAAAACAGGTGTCCAAAAAAGGAACAAATAATGAATATATCATTCACACTGACATTGAACATAAAAAGTCCACCCTGCTTAAATGCTGACCAATATATCAAAATTATCTGATTTGTTCTCCTCCCCTTGTATAACAGGCCTACAAACTTCAGAAATTGTGGGAGCTTCATCACTGGAAGCTTTCAAGAAGAGACTGGATTGGCATCTTTCAGAAATGGTGTAAGTAGGGTCCCCTGCTTGGGCGGGGGGGTGGACTAGTTGACCTACAAGGTCCCTTCCAACTCTGTTACTCTGTTATAAACTTTCCCAACTTTCAGAGAAGTTTCTAAAACTGGATAAAGGGTCTTTTTTCTTAGGATCACAATGGTCTAAATCGCTCTCCTTCAAAATGAATAAGTGAGTGCATAGATAGAAATCGATACAAATGCATCCACCGTGTTACCCGGGACCCAAAGACAAGCTTCCCGATTCTGATTGAAGCAGGATAAAAAGCCACACAGTTTGCCAAGTTTTCTCTTTTATTCGAGTTTAGAAAGAAAGCAAAAAGCAGGTTGGGTGTCAGCCAAGCCTTCTCAAAGTAGGTAGGTCCTTTGACTTTTCCGCCTAGCACTGCTGATTGTTTTGCATTCTACCTCCTCCTGGTGAGGTTTGCATGACCCTTAAACCCTTTTTACTTTTTTCTCTAGACTTGGGTTTGTTCTCCAGAGTATTTTAAGTAAGCAAATTATAACACTGTATGATACTGTGTCATAGCGTGGGAGTCCCTAAACCCCAGGCCGTGGCCCATTCGGAACCAGACCGTGTGAGCGGCGGTTGAGCACCTGCGGTGCGCAGCTCCACTCGCGTGAGTGGCGAGAACTCGCACTTGCGCAAGCGAGAACTCGCACTTGCCAAGCGAGAACTCACACTTGTGTGAGCAGCAGGAACTCACGCAAGCAGCGAGAACTCACACTCGCGCAAGCAGCGAGAACTCACGTGAGCAAGAACTTGCACTCACGTGAGCAGTGAAAACTCACGTGAGCAGCAAGCGAGAACTCGCACGTGCGCAAGTAGCAAGAACTAGCACTTGCACTCACATACAAAGCTCCATTTGTGCAAGCAGCAGGTGCGTGCACCTGCCCCTCGCACACATGGAGCTGGGTGCATTCATGCGCATGCCTCCCACTCTCACAGAACCATCCCCTCCCCCAACATTGGGCCATCAAGCTGAAAAGGTTGGTGACTGCTGTCATAGCCTAGTTACACCCCCTCCTTTTGGTCCCTAATTACTGGTCTAATTCTCCCATTTACCATTCAGGAAAAGTTTATGAAATTAATTAGTATTACCATTCATTACCCCAGACTGAAAAAAATGGCAGGTGACCGGCAGGTAATTCTCTGGCTTGTAAACCTTGGATCTTGGTCTGGCGGGTAGCCAGAAGCCAAGATAGCATAGTTCATCCATCGTAAACACAGCTGACGCTCTCCATCGATTTTGGCCATTGTAGGATATTTAGCTGCCGGTCAGAATTTCATTGTTCAGCTTCTTTTCTCTTCCAATCCACTTTATACGCCGCCCTTTTATCACTTATTAAAATAAGAAACAATATTCCATTAAAGCAAATCAACACACACTACTCAAAACAAGTCAAATTAGGCCCCAATAAAATCTGAAATCCCACATTGTATATAACCCTGCCAGATCACCAGTAAGTTACATCCGAACCTTAGTGCTTTGGGGAAGAGCCTGTGATGGTGGTTAACCTTAATCCTAACTATCCTGGTCACTGTTCTTAACAGCAGGGCAAATATCAACTATTTTGGTTCACGGTTTTGCATGGATGCAAAGATATTGGAGGGACAACCAGATGCCATGGGTTGGGAAGACGTAACTTCCCAGAAGTCTTGGGTTTCAAGAACAATTCTTGTCTAGATCAGGGGTCTACCAAACTTGGCAACTTTTAAGACTTGTGGACTTCAACTCCCAGAATTCCTCAGCCAGCATGGCTGGCTAAAGAACTTTGGGAGCTGAAGTCCATAAGTCTTAAAAGTTGTCAAGTTTGAAGACCCCTGGCCTAGATCATTCCATATGGAGACAGGAAATCAGATACAGGTATTCCTTGATTTATAACCACTCGTTTAGCGACCGTTCAAAGTTAACAACAGCACTGAAGAAAGCGACTTTATTTATTAATGTATGCATTTGTCCAATCAATTTTCTGTAGCCACCCAACTCAACCAAGTGACTCTGAGCGGCTTACAATTCTAAAATTATAAAACAGTGTAAACAATTTAAATGAGGTTAAAACAGTAAAAAACATCCACCAAATAAATGAGTATAAATGACAGCCGTGACGATTAATGAACTGATAGTAAAACCAAGTAACGGGACCCTTAATGCATTCTGAGCCCAAGGTGCATAGCCAAGTTTTTAAAGCTTTGTGAAAAGCCAACAGGTTGGGGCCATTCTAATCTCTGATGGGAGAATATTCCATAAGGCAAAGGTTGTAGCAGAAAAAGCCCATTTTCTCATTCCTGCCAGCCAACACTCTTCGGCTGATCGAATCTGCAGCATGCCCTATCTGTAGGATCTGATGAGAGGGATAGAAACTCTTGGAAAAAGTTCTCTATAAGTTGTACTTGTTGTTGTGTAGAATCCTCTTTGATATTAATTTGTTCCTCTTCTGTTGTTTTTTGGATTGTAAGTTCATCAGTTGAAATCTGGGCTTCCATTTGTAATTTTAAGGTGACATCTTTGTCTTTCACTCTGGAATTCATTAGCTCAGTGGCTTCAAGGATTTTTTCAAGTATGAGTTTATAGTTAAGTTGCGGGTAGAATTCCTCCATTTCTGTGGTGATTAGAGATAGTCCTTTAGTGGAGGCTATGTTTAATAAAAGTCAGCAGATGTCCACCTCCACTATTCCTAAAAGTTCTTTTCACCACCCAGCTGTTTCAAATTCTTAGCTTTTTTAGATAGTACCAAGGACAAATCTAGGGAGTAAGCAGGCCTCAGTCAAAGAAATTCACTTGCTGTACCAGGCTTTGCCACAAGATGTCCCCAATAACATATAAAATCTTTTTCCAGACACCAGTTAGGCTTTTATCCAGTTTAAAAAAAAAATTTCCCAACTTAACAAATAGATAAGGTAATAGATCCCTGTAACCTTTAACTGTGACAACCAATACACTGAATTGCACCCGGTAACACGACAACCAGTGCAGTTCACAGGCTAGTGTGTTACATGTTGTACTGGCACCAATTATTACTTGTGCAGCCACAATTTTGCACTAGTTGAAGTTTCCGAATGGCCTTCAAGGGTGGCCCCATGCAGAGTGTATTGCAGCCATCTAAGCAGGAGGTTACAAGAGCGTTAAGTGACAGTGAGCAAATTATGCACTACCCGAAGTTGTGCAAAGCTCTCCTACCCACAGCTGCCCTCTGCTCTTCAAGCAGGAGCTGTGACTCTAGGATAGGGGTGGGTGATTAATTTTCCCAAGGAGCCACACAAGAAACTGGGACTGTTGTGGAGGGCTCCCCTTCCCCCCGCCACACATACACCCCGAACAGCAGGTTTTCTGGAATAACATCAAACTCCCCCTGGAGCCCAGTCAGGTCCATTAGTTGCCTAGGGTGGGCCGATCCAATCGACCCAGCTCCCTGCGGAATAGAGGCTCACCAGCAAGTGGTCTGATTATGGCAAGGGGGAAACCCATATCTCCCTCAAATCCAGAACCCTCCACCATTGCCCCGACAGAAAACCAGATCCAGGCTATTACTGCTGTTATTAAGTGGCCTCTGGACAATTTGGGGCAGGGCTGTCATGGTAACGACGAAATCCCGAGGTACCTTTGATCCTGTGCCCAGTGAAGCCAGATTAAAGTCTGCCAGGTGTCTATGGAGATTCTCAACCAACCCAGGTCACAGGGGTCCCAAAGGTGCTTTTCCAACAGGAACTGGCCTTCCGTAGGTTTTTTTTCTTTTTTGAAGATGTTTCAGTTCTCATCCAAGAAGTTTCTTCAGTTCCGTCATTCACAACTCCATTCACCCAATCTACTCCATCCCAGAACTGGTTTATCTCACCTGTCAGCAGCGGGACTGCAAGCACGTGCGCGCGCGCACACACACACACACACATACACACACACACTATTCCTGACTCTCAGCTAGAGAGAAGCTGGCTGGGGGTCAATTCCGGTTAGGAGAGCTGAAGAAGCTTCTTGGATGAGAAGTGAAATGTCTTCAAAGTAAAACCAGAAAGTCCACTTGCCTCTTGAAAAAAGCATCTTTGGGACAACCATGACCTGGATGACTGAAAACTTCCATAGACATTCTGGTTATCAGTCTCTGGCGACCATTTTCTAGGCTTGCTGGTATTGGGCCAGCTCTCCAACGACTCCTCTGACAGTGTTTCTTCTTCACTGTTTTTCCGTTGCCACTGCCACCATCGTCCCCGGTCTCAGCTTGGCCCTCGGGCCTCTGTTCTCCCAAGCAGGATAAGTTCAGGTTCTGCTGCTTCCCTGCTGCTTCTTCTCCCTCACTGATCTTTGCCAGTGTTGTGACCGCCTGAACCTTCGGTGTTGGCTTGGTGTCTCTTATCTCTGGTCTCCTGCTGAGGGTCCATCCTTAGGAATTCTTCGGATGCCACGGATGAAAACACCACCAGTTCTGGGCCTGGCTCGGCACCTCCAGCTGGAGGCCTGACCTCATCATGCCTTCGCCTTCACCAGGCCTCAGGTCCACATTTCCACAGAATAACAAGAGTTGAAAGGGACCTTGGAGGCCTTCTAGTTCAACCAACCTGCTCAGGCAGGAAACCCTATGGCATTTCAGACAAATGGACATCCAATTTCTTCCTCAAAACCTCCAGTGATGGAGATCCCACAACTTCTGGAGGCAAGCTGTTCCACTGGTTAATTTGTTCTCACTGTTAGGAAGTTTCTCCTTAATTCCAGGTTGCTTCTCTCTTTGATTAATTTCCAACCATTGTTTCTTGTCCTGCCCTCTGGTGCTTTGGCAGCCCCTTAAATACTGGAATACTGCTATCATGTCTCCCCTATTTCTTCTTTTCTTTAGACTAGCCAGACCCAAGTCCTGCAGCCGTATGTTTCAGTCTCCAGGCCTTTGATCATCTTAGTTGCTCTTCTCTGAATTATTTCCAAACTCTCAACATCTGTTTTGTGGTACAGTGACCAAAATTGGCTGCAGTATTCGAGGTGTGGTCTTACTGAGACTTTATAAAGCGGTACTAATACTTCGTGTGATCTTGATTCTATGCCTCTGTTTATACAACCCAGGATTGTATTAGCTTTTTTGGCTGCTGCTGCACATTGCTGGCTCGTGGTCAAGTGATCGTCCACTAGGAGTCCAAGATCCTTCTCACAGTTATTGTTTTTGAGCCAGGCCTTGCCCAATCTTTATTTGTACCTTTGATTTTTCCTGCCTAAATGTAAAACTTTGCTTTTCTCCACACAGAAATTCATTTTGTTGTATAGGGCCCATCGTTCCAGTCTGTCAAGATCCTTTTGGATCTTGAGTTTGTCTTCTGTGGTGACAATTCTGGCCCTACTTGTAATCTAATGGAAGGTGTGGCTTTGTGGTCTTGAACCCCCTTCTTAGCAGATGAGAGCCACTTTGGCACCAGGCCAGAAGCAGGGAGGCCCTGAGTTCGAGTCCCGCCTGAGGCACAAGGCCAGCGAGATAACCTTGAGCCAATCTCTCTCTCTCAGCCCTGGGAAGGAAGCAATGGCAAATCCAAAACCTGGCCATGAAAACTGCAGGGGTTTGTCCTGGCAGTCGCCGGGAGCTGACAAAAACACAACACCTTTCTCGGCAGATTTTCATGGCAGACCTTTTTGGTTTGCCCCCCCCCCCAATGTTAACGGGTGGAAACTAACCAAAGAGAGAAGCAACCTAGAACTAAGGAGAAACTTCCTGACAGTTAGAACAATTAACCAGTGGAACAACCTGCCTCCAGAAGCGGTGAATGCTCCAACACTGGAAGTTTTTAAGAAGAGACTGGACAGCCATTTGTCTGAAATGGTATAGGGTTTCTTGCCTAAGCAGGGGGCTGGACTAGATGACCTCCAAGGTCCCTTCCAACTTTATCATCATCATCATCATCATCATCATCATTATTACTATTATTATTATTATTATTAAGTTCTAGATAGGAAGACAAAAATGTTTATCAAATTTATTTGTCGCCCATCTCATAATAAAATGAAATATGGGGGAATGTTAGATTTTCCATGCCTTTTCTCCCTTTCCTTTTGCTCTGAAGATTCCTGCAACTATTTTTTCCTACGGCTCGTCTTGCAGGGTCCGCCTCTCCTGCATGCAGCTCAATCCCCTGCCTTCAAATCAGAATTTATTAGCACCCCACAGATTCAATAACTGTAAAGGATTAGTAAACGGCCCTTATATGAATCATTTTATATCTAGCCCAGGGGTAGGCAACCTTGGCTCTTTTATGACTTGTGGACTTCAACTCCCAGAATTCCTGAGCCAGCATGGCTCAGCTTGGAAACCTCTCCCTTTCCCCTCAGCATGGCTGGCTCAGGAATTCTGGGAGTTAAAGTCCACGAGTCATGAAGGGGCTATAGTTCTCCCATGCTGGCTCAGGAAGTTTGGGAGTTGAAGTCCACGAGTCATAAAAGAGCCAAGGTTGCCTACCCCTGGCATAGTCTGTAGGTGTTGTTCATGTCTATGTGTCTATTGATGGCTGATTTGTCAAGAGTGTCAGATTTCTAGAAATTCCCTGGCGTTTTTGGATTTGGCCTAGTCTAGGATGGGAGATTTCCTGGCTTTACCCTGGCTCTGGTTATTCTGCCGCAGGAGATCCTCCAGGTCTTTCCTGAACCGCTGCCCAGAATGGAAGGCTCTCTTGGTCATCCAGTCCCAGAAGTGGGGGTTCTCTTCCTCAATCTTCTTCATCCAAGGGGTTTGAGACACGGCCCGCTCGGTGAGGCTGTCGTAGGAACCAGCAAGGAAGCCGTCTGCATATCCCAGAGCTGTGAACTGGGGCAAGTCCCCAACGGGTTCTGACAGGGCGGTGTAGAGATAAAGCAGAGAGTGTGTGTGTCCATCTGGAAAACAAGGACAAAGTTGTGTTTGGCAGGATAGGAGCACTTCTACACCGTTCAAAGGGTGTGGGTGTGGGGGGGGGGTGTCTTTTTGTTGATGTTAACCAATTCTGTTTTTTAGGATTTCAAACTTTCTGAAGACCGAAAAGCTTACGACCACAATTTTGATTTTTTGTAATTTAGTTTTATTCATTTACAACATAAAATGGGAAAATCCAAAAGCAAATAGCCAGGGACAATAAAAAAAGGGAAAACAAAAAAAGGTGTGAAGAAAGGGAGGGGAAGAAACAAAAGGCACTATACTTCCGATTCTCTCTGTTGCAGTAAAATCAGACATTAAAATCAAATCTCAGCACAAGTTGATAAGAAAAAATGTTGTACGTGGACATTATTATTATTTGTAGAAGCATGAAAAAAAATGTTTATATTTAACCATTTATGCATTGAAAATATTAAGAATGACATTTGTTTCAGACTAAAGGAGAATACTATTGGGAGAAAGATAGATCAAAGAAATATACTATTACTTAATATACTAATTATGCAATTACAAAAATAATTATTATTGACTGTTAATTTACTATTTTTTTTTCAAAATATATGAACCAAGACAGCACGCTGTACACTAGGTACTCAGGATGGTATTGTAAAAAATTAATAAAAGGTAGAAAGTTGAGATTTGATTTGATTGATTTTAGAAATGTTTAATGTTTTATTTCTAAAAGAAATCAATCAAATCAAATCAAATCTCAACTTTTTACCTTTCTATAGTAGTAGGCACTAGCCATTCCTGTATTCTGTAACCCTAACTTACAGCCACAATTGAGCCCAAAGTTTAGGTCGCTAAGCGAGAAAATTGTTAAGTGAGTTTCACCCCATTTTACGACGCCCCTTGCCACAGTTGTTAAGCGAATCACTGCAGCTGATAAAGTGGTAACCCGACTGTTAAGTGACTCTGGTTTCCCCCATTGATTTCGGTTATCAAAAGGTGGCAAAAGGGGGTCACATGACCTTGGGACACAGCAGCCATTGTAAGTGAGAACCAGTTGCCAAAGCGTCTGAATTTTGCTGATGTGTCCATGGGGCTGCTATAAAGGCCTTAGGTGTGATAAACGGTCCTATGTCGCTTTTTTTCAGTGCCTTTGTGTGGTCACTAAATGAACTGTTATGCCGAGGACTACCTGTGTTATATAAGCAGGCAAATACAGGATAAAAGAAGTCTCAAGCAGCGCAAATAATAATTTCAGCTGAACTATTTGGCATTTATTAGTGACTCTGCTGATTGCTTTTGGTTGAGAGAAGAGCAAGTAAGATGATCCAAGGCCTGGAGACTAAAACATACGAAGAACGGCTACGGGACTTGAGTTTGGCTAGTTAAAGAAAAGAAGAAATAGGGGAGACATGATAGCGGTATTCCAGTATTTGAGGGGCTGCCACAAACAAGAGGGGGTCAAATTATTCTCCAAAGCACCAGAGGGCTGGACTAGAAGATCTCCAAGGTTCTATTCTATTCTATTCTATTTTATTCTATTCTATTCTATTCTATTCTATTATTCTAGTCTAGAGAAAAAGAGGACTAGGGCGACAGGATAGCACTATTCCAGTATTTGAGGGGTTGCCACAAGGAGGAAAGGGTCAATTTATTTTCCAAAGCACCAGAAGGTAGGACAAGAAACAACAGATGGAAAGTAATCAAGGAGAGAAACAACCTGGAGTTAAGGAGAAACTTCCTAATAGTGAGGACAATTAACCAGTGGAACAGCTTGCCTCCAGAAATCGCAGGTGCTCCATCACTGGAGGTTTTTAAGAAGAGACTGGACAGTCACTTGTCTGAAATGGTATAGGTTTTCCTGCTTGAACAGGGGGCTGGACTAGAAGACCTCCAAGGTCCCTTCCAATTCAATTCAATTCAATTCTATTCTATTCTATTCCTTCCACACTACTGTGGTATAGTATAGTAACTTTTTCATTTACATGTGCAGTAAAACAATCCCTTCACCAACTAATCTTGTGAAAAAAATAATAAACTTGCATGCCACCCAAATCTCCACAACTCTGGGTGGCTCACAACAATCAAAGAAATTAAAATACAGATTTGATATGCATAGTCTCACAAGATGGGTAGCATTAAGTCAGATCATTCCACAATTATTTTACAACCCCAAGTATTGTTTTATGGTGGTCATGACCATACATGATTGAAGCCCTGCATCTAAAATTGGAGCCATTCTAGACTGTGTCCGTTCTTGTGCTTTGTATTCTAAATATTTTATGAAGAATAGAATAGAATAGATAATCAAAAAAAAAGGAAAAAAGTAATAAAGTACAGGTAGTCCTCGACTTATAACAGTTCGCTTAGTGACTGTTCGAAGTTACAATGGCACTGAAGAAAGTGCCCCCCAAGCCACAGCCGAGCAAGACACCTGCCTGCCCACCCGGCGGCGCTCTTCCTCCTATTTCATTGTTGTGAGTGTTTCTGTTGAGGATTGGCAGCGGGGGTGGGGGGTGGGGTGTTTGGTTTTTATTCCCATCTGCTGGGACACTGGGACACTGTGACCGTCATAAATATGAATCAGTTACCAAATATCTGAATGTAAATCACAAGACCCTGGAGATGCTGCAACATTCCAGCTGATTGGTGCTTCTTCAGGGCTCAGCAGAAGCACCAGGATCAGTGCCACGCTCCAGCTGGGAGCCTGGCGCTGACTCTGGCGCTTCCACTGAACCTTGACAGTCCCAAAGAAGCGCTGATCAGCTGGAAAGCGGCACTGATCCTGGTGCTTCCGCTGAGCCCTGACAGCCCTGCAGCTCCAGCCGTCTCTCGCTCAGGCTTGTGCAGTGCTGCCACTGGTTCAGCTTATTCCCCTCCCCCGCTACCACTTTTCTAGGATGGTCGCGTACCACCTGCCAGGTGCCAATGTACCACAGGTGGTACCTGTACCACTGGTTGAAAAGCTCTGTTCTAGTCCAACCCCCTGCTCAGGCAGAAGAACCTATACCAATTCAGACAAGTGGCTGTGCAATCTCTTCTTAAAAACTTCCAGTGTTGGAGCATTCACAACTTCTGGAGGCAGGTTGTTCCACTGCTTCTAAATGCACTGTGTTGCCTTCTAAATGCATTATATTCTTCTACTCCATATTATCTCTCTCTGCTATCAGGAAATGGATTAAGAGGCCCTGCGGGTAGAACAACACCCAACAGAGAAATTATAAAACTAGCAAAGAACAAACAAACAAAACAATGGCACAGTTCAGTGTATATATACTGCATGTGGTTGTGCAAAGTCCACATTATATTCTGGCTAGATTCCTGGATTTTTTCCCCATACCCTTTGGGGACTTTCCAAAGTCACCTGAGATCCGCCCAATAACAGGTGCTCTTTTCTTCTGTTTCCCCATTGGTTGTCCTGCGAACACACCACCGGCACCCCTGCAGACAACCAAGCACCTCACTGTCATTTATCAGGGAGTGCCAGTGGGTGAGGCCCCACCATTGATCTACCTATCAAATTTAAATGGCCACCCATCTCCCCATAAGGAACCCTGGGCTGCCTACAACATCAGTGAACATATCAGAATCAGGATACAGCTGGAAGGGACCTTGGAGGTCTTCTAGTCCAGCCCCCTGCTCAAGCAGGAGATCCTATACCATCTCGGAGAAGTGACGGTCCAGTCTTTCCTTAAAAACCTCCAGCCACAATGTCTGAAGGCAAAGTTGTTCCACTGGTTAATTGTCCTCACTGTTAGGAAGTTTCTGCTTAATTCTAGGTTGCTTCTCTCCTTGATTAGATTGCTTTGGAAAATAAGTTGACACCCCCTCCCCTTTGTTGGAGCCCCTCAAATATTGGAATACTGCTATCATGTTCCCTCTTGTCCTTCTTTTCTCTAAACTGGCCATTCCCAAATCCTGCACCCCTTCTTCATATGTTTTAGTCTCCAGGCCTCTAATCATCTGAATTGCTCTTCTTTGCACTTTTTCCAAAGTCTCAAAATATCAAATGATATTAGTTTATAAAATAAAATACCATTAAGGCATACAAAAGATTAGAGTTAACAGCCATAATGGACCATTGCAAGATCTCATCGGTCCACTGAGACACATACACACACACACGCACACACCACGCCTGATGACCCAGCCTGGTCTTGAGGGAAACTTCAGAAAATAAGCTGGGTTTAAGCTAACTTTACCGAGAGGGAGAATGTTTCCTAAGACAGGCTCCAGAGTAGAAGAGATTTTTGTAAGCCGAGAAGCCAGCGTGATGGAATGCTTGGGCTGAGAACCATGGGTATTGCACTCCGACTTCCTTGCGGACTCTTGGGTCCAATCAATCAGAATAGAGCTGGAAGGGACCTTGGAGGTCTTCTAGTCCAACCCCATGCTCAAGCAGGAGACCCTATACCATCTCAGACAAATGGCTGTCCAGTCTCTTTTTAAAAACTTCCAGTGTTGGAGCATTCACAACTTCTGGAGGCAGGTTGTTCTACTGCTTCTAAAATGCAGTGAATTGCCTCCTAAATGCATTATATTCTTCTACTCCATATTATCTCTCTCTGCTATCAGGAAATGGACTAAGAGGCCCTGAGGGTAGAACACCACCCAACAGAGAAATTATAAAACTAGCAAAGAACAAACAAACAAAACAATGGCACAGTTCAGTGTATATACACGTGGTTGTGCAAAGTGCACATTATATTCTTCTGGCTAGATTCCTGGATTTTTTTTTACTATACCCTTTGGGGACTTTCCAAAGTCACTTGAGACCCACCCAATAACAGGTGCTCTTTTCTTCTGTTTCCCCATTGGTTGTCCTGCAAACACACCACCAGCACTCCTCCAGACAACCAAGCACCTCACTGTCATTTATCAGGGAGTGCCAATGGGTGAGGCCCCACCTTTGATCTACCTATCAAATTTAAATGGCCACCCATCTTCCCATAAGGAACCCTGGGCTGCCTACAACATCAGCGAACATATCAAAATCAGGATACAGCTGGAAGGGACCTTGGAGGTCTTCTAGTCCAGCCTCCTGCTCAAGCAGGAGATCCTATACCATCTCGGAGAAGTGACGATCCAGTCTCTTCTTAAAACCCTCCAGTAATGAAGCAGCCACAATGTCTGAAGGCAAAGCTGTTCCACTGGTTAATTGTCCTCACTGTTAGGAAGCTTCTCCTTAATTCCAGGTTGCTTCTCTCCTTTATTATTATTATTATTGTTATTATTTAATAATAATAATAATAATAATAATAATAATAATAATAATAATAATAATAATAAAAAAGTTGGAAGGGACCTTGGAGCTCATCTAGTCCAACCCCCTACTCAGGCAGGAAACCCTATATCATTTTGGACAAATGGCTGTCCAGTCTCTTCTTAAAAACTTCCAGTGTTGGAACATTCACCGCTTCTGGAGGCAGGTTGTTCCTCTGGTTAATTGTTCTAACTGTCAGGAAGTTTCTCCTTAGTTCTAGGTTGCTTCTCTCCTTGATTAGTTTCCACCCGTTGCTTCTTTTTTTTTTTTTTAAGAAATTTTATTTATTTTTCTCCATCATAAAAAACAATCATAAGTAAACACAATAACCAATCAAACCCCCCCCCCCCCGGACTTCCCAAACCTAATCCCAGGATAATATTCAATAAAAGTAAACAAATACTAATATCTCTAACTCCACAAAGTATCTTAATCTACAAGAAAGGATAGAAAGAGTAAACAAACTTAAAAAAATCTAGAAACCTAAATTATATTCTACCACTCTGTGTTTGTCCTGCCTTCAGGCGTCTTGGAGAATAGCTTGACTCCCTCTTCTTTGTGGCAGCCCCTGAGATATTGGAACACGGCTATCATGTCCCCCCTCATCCTTCTCTTCGTTAAACTAGACATACCCAATTCCAGCAACTGTTCCTTATATGTTTTAGCCTCCAGTCCCCTAATCATCTTTGTTGCTCTTCTCTGTACTCTTTCTAGAGTCTCAACATCTTTTTTACATCGCTGTGACCAAAGCTGGATGCAGTATTCCAAGTGTGGCCTTACCAAGGCATTGTAAAGTGGTATTAACACTTCACGTGATCTTGATTAGTATCCATCCATTGCTTCTTGTCTTTGCCTTCGGGTGCTTTGGAAAATTAGCTGAACCTCTCTTCTTTGTGGCAGCCCCTCAAATACTGGAATATGCTATCATGTCCCCCCTAGTCCTTCTTTTCTCTAGACTAGCCATACCCAAGTCCTGCAACCGTTCTTCATACGTTTTTGTCTCCAAGGCTCTTAACAAAGAGAAGGACGAGGGGGGACATGATAGCAGTGTTCCAATATCTCAGGGGCTGCCACAAAGAAGAGGGAGTCAAGCTATTTTCCAAAGCGCCTGAAGGCAGGACAAGGAGCAACGGGTGGAAACTAACCAAGGAGAGAAGCAACCTAGAACTAAGGAGAAACTTCCTGACAGTTAGAACAATTAACCAGTGGAACAACCTGCCTCCAGAAGCGGTGAATGCTCCAACACTGGAAGTTTTTAAGAAGAAACTGGACAGCCATTCGTCCAAAATGGTATAGGGTTTCCTGCCTGAGCAGGGGGTTGGACTAGATGACTTCCAAGGTCCCTTCCAACTTTTTTATTATTATTATTATTATTATTATTATTATTATTATTATTATTATTATTATCTCCGTTGCTCTTCTTAGCACTTTTTCCCAAAGTCTCAACATCTTTTTTGTAACGCGGTGACCAAAACTGGATGCAGGATTCCAGAGGTGGCCTTACTACGCATTTACAAAGCGGTACTAATACTTCGCGTGATTGTGCCTCCGTTTATACGGCGATCGCGCCCACCCACCTGCCCCACGGGCTCGCGGCTCTCTCGACCCGCGACTTGTGAATCGGTCCCTTCCTTTCGCCGTGTTTTCATCCTCGCGGCAGCAGCAACAACAGTCCTGGCGTGTAGGTCGCCCGGAGCCCAAGCCCCTGCGGCGAAAGCCCCCTCCCCTCCCCGCCTCTCTCTCTCTCTCTCTCCTCCGCTCCCCTGGCTTTCCCTACGGGTCCCACGCGCGCTCTCCCCCCCCCCCCCAGCTACTCACCGGAGCAGCCGCTGCGCAGGAGGAGTAAAAGAAGCGCCCGGAGGAGGGAGAGCAGCCCCGTCGCCGTCTCGCGGTCTGGAGCCCTCCGCTCCGCGGGCCCTCGGGGGATCCTTCCCTGGGCGACGTTCCAGGGGATCAAGTGGGAAAGAACCAGGCGATCCATTCGATCGAAGCCCCGAGGGGCTCTCACGAGCAAGCGCCCTTAGGACGAGCCTCCCAGGCAGCGCAAGTCTCGAATAAGCGCTGCGGCTGGTGCAAAAGAGACAATATTGCGTGATCGCTCCGCCTCCCCGACCTGAGTGTAAAGTACCTGGCCGGAGGGGTGGGGGGGGGCGGCGGCCTGTTGCTGCTGCTTATCTCTCGGTAAGCGTTTCAGGCTTCATTTCCTCCCTCGCTCTTCTTCCGCCTCCTTCGATCAACTTGAATCAACTTTGCCCTCCCGGTCCCAAAGGTACTTTCCCTTTCCCCCCCCCCCCCAGGAGGCAACTGGACTTTCTTGTTTTTCTTTGAAGACGTTTCGCTTCTTCATCCAAGCAGCTGCTTCCGCTCTGCCTGGATGGTGGGGGGGGGGAAATGGAAGGATTTATACTCCTTGCAGAACGCTGGTCATTTGCCTCCTTATTTAGAGAGTTGTTGAGCCGCCTGGAGATTTGTCTAGGACAGTGGTTCTCAACCTGTGGGTCGGGACCCCATTTGGGGTCGATCGACCATTTCACGGGGGTCGCCAAGCAAGGCTGTCCACCATTTTTTTTGTCCGCCATTTTTTTTGTCCGCCATTTTTTCCCCCTTTTCCTGGGGGTGCCTTATCTCCCTTGGGCTGGGCCAGCTGGTGGTCGGCCTGCTCCGTCTCTGCCGCTTGCCAGATACGCCTCGGCCGGCGCAGGGGGTGGAACCGTGCGTGCGCGGCGCTCCCGGGCAGGGAAAGTCCTCGACTTACGACCGGTTGGGTAGTCCTCGACTTACGACCGGTGTAGTCCTCGACTTATGACCGGTTTAGTCCTCGACTTACTACTGGTTTAGTCCTCGACTTACGACCTGTTGGGGTCACGGCATTAAAAAGGTTGAGAACCACTGGTCTAGGACCTCAGGGGTCCCCTGAGTGCTGCAAATGGGTGGGGAGCCTTCTGGGAACTGCTGAAAGGACTGTCCCGCATTCAGTCAGAGCTGAAGAGTTGGAAGGGAGCTTAGAGGTCTTCTAGTCCAGCCCCCTGCTCAGACAGGAAGCCCTATCCCACTTCAGACAAATGGTTGTCCAATCTTGCCTTAAAAACTTCCATTCACATCTTCTGGAGGCAAGTCGTTCCACTGGTTAATTCTTCTAAGTGTCAGGACATTTCTCCTTAGTTCTAGGTTGCTTCTCTCCTTGATTAGTTTCCATCTGTTGCTTCTTGTCTTGCCTTCAGGGGCTTTTGGAGAAGAGGTTGACACCCCCCCCCCCCGTTCTTTGGGGCAGCTCCTGAGATATTGGAACACTGCTATCCTGTCACCCCTCGTCTTTCTCTTCATTAAGCTAGACATACCCAACTCCAGCAACCGTTCTTCATATGTTTTAACCTCCAGTCCTTTAATCATCTTTGTTGCTCTTCTCTGCACTTCTCGGCAGCCCCCCCCCCCTTTCCATAGAACTACCTTTCCACTGGGGGAAAGTATCTTGTCTAATATTTATGTTTAAGACTTCCAAAATAAAAATAAATAACAATGGAGATAATAGACATCCTTGCCTTGTTCCTTTCCTTATCTCAAAGTTCTCAGTGTAATCTCCATTCACAATCACTTTCCCTGTTTATTATATATTGTTTTTATCAGATTTATAAAGTTCTGTCCAAAGTCCATTATTTGTAGTTGCTGAGTCATAAATTGCCAGGAAACATTATCTTTTGGGCATCTAGAAATATTAGTGCCAATTTTTTCTCTGGATGTAATTCATAGTATTCTAATACGTCCATTATCAAAGTGTTTTTAATTTGTCTCTTTGATAGAAAGCCATTTTGGTCTGGATATATAAATTACATTAAGTATTTTTTCAGTCTCTCTGTCATTATCGAAATAAAAAATTTATAATCTACATTGAGGAACAATATCAGTCTGTAGTTTTTAATCTGTGTCAAATCTGAATCTTCTTTTGGTATTAAAATAATGTTTGCTCCCATCCAGCTGGGAGTTTAGCCTCCAGCAAAAGTCCATTACAGACATCTTTCATTGGTTCACTTAGTATATCTTGTAGAGTTTTATATAACTCCACCGGTAATCCATCTGGACCTGGTGTTTTTTCATTATTATTTTTTTTTTGCCTTCTTATGGCCTCTGATATTTCCATCATTGTAATTTTTTCCTCTAACATAGTCTTAAATATCTCTGGAATACCTGCTCAAGCAGGAGACCCTATACTACTTTATGGTGTTAGACTCTCTTTGAGGAAATAGGGTTAATTAACTTTTTCTTTGAGTCTCTTTTTTTTTTTTAATTGAGACCAAGGTAAGTTTGCTTTAAGGATAGGAACTTTTCAGCCCTTATATAACCCCCCCTTTTCCCCGCCTTGCACCCTCTGGCGCTCCCTCCCTCCCTCCTCCGTGCTCTGACAGATTCTCTCTCTCCCTCTTCCCCCCCCATCGTTTAACGGTTTTCCCGCCAATATTCACCCTACCGCCTTCTTTCCTCCGTCGTGCTCTGATAGACTCTTCCCTCCCCCAACTCCTTTTAACGGTTTTCCCGCCAATATTCCGCACAAGTTTTCCTCCCCTCCCTCCTATTCCAGGAGGGACAGTGTCGTCATCTTACCCTCCCCTTCTCTCACACACACACACACATTTGAGTCGTATTTTATCACTCTTCTGAAGGAAGCTTTTCTCTCTCAACAGTTCGGAGAGCGATTGGGACAGAACAATTCGCGGTTGTGCCTAAGGGCAAAACCCCTTTAAAATTCTGTTCCTTTCTTCTCCTCCTCAGAGCGGTGCCTTAAATACGTCCTGGGCCCTTCAGAGACCCCCCTTCCCTCCCTCTGACAGGCTCTGCCTGCCTCCTGACAATTCTCTCCCTTTCCCTGACAGTTTAACAGTTCTCCCGCCAAAATTCCGTGCGGTGTTTCCTGCCCCCCTCTCTCATTCCAGCGGGGCAGTGACGTCATAGCCTCCCATTGCATTGAGTTATCGTTGTATTCAGTTATGTGATAACATCTAGTTATAATGAAGAGAAGTCAAATTTAATGAAGAGAAAGACGGGATGACATGATAGTAGTCTTCCAATATCTCAAGGGCTGTCACAAAAGAAGAAGGGGTCAAGCTATTCTACAAAGCACCTGAAGGTAGGACAAGAAGCAACTGATGGAAACTAATCCAGGAGAGAAGCTGTTAGAACAATTAATCAGTGGAATAACTTGCCTCCAGAATTGCAAATGCTCCAGCACTGAAAGCTTTTAAGAAGAGACTGGACAATCATTTGTCTGAAATGGTATAGGGTTTCCTGCCTGAGCAAGGGGTTGGACTAGAAGACCTCCAAGGTCCCTTCCAACAGTGTTATTCTGTTGGATACGTACATGTATACATACATATTTGCTGATGCTTCATTTAAGCTTACCGTATATTTGTGTCTAATATGTTTTATTAGAGTTGTACATCAATGATTGCATGACCTCTGTAGATACCATACACTAAATAAACCATTCTCTCTTAGAGGAAACAGGTTGATTTTAACAATCACTTTTCAGAAGAAAGCTTTTTATTTTATTTTATCATAGTCTGTTGCTCTTTGCCCTCAAAGAAAGATGGCAGTTGTTCCCTTAGGACTTGCCATTGTTAGAAGGTAATTATTAAAGTAGTTGATTTTTTTTAAAAAGGCAAAATTAATTCCATTTTAGAAAAGAAGCTGGTGATTTTCCATTATACAGAAGTGAGAGTGTCACTAACATAAATAAGAAAGCAACACAAGGACAATTTTATGCTGATAGCAAGATAAGATGCACCAATTAGAAAATGAGAAAATTAGAAGAGTAAAGCTTGAACATTCTAGAACTAGATGTCATGGTTCCAAAAGATGAAACTCTTCAAAAGAACTTCGAGGCACTGTTTACTTTAAATAATCTTTATTTTGAGTAGCATAACATCAGCAGTGCATAATTGAAGCCAAAAACTGAATTCTCCTTCCCTGAGCACATAGTATCAAAGCACAATTCCCTCCTTCAATTAACAGTCATAAATCACATTCCCCAATTAGCGTGAAGGGCAGGTCTCCTCTCCAGTTCTCCAGCCTGCCAATTCCTTATCAGCTCTGGTTACAATAACCTTGTTTCTCATGCTAGGTTTAGTGTTGTTATGCCTAGCTGGACTCTCGTTCACACATCCCCTCTCAGCATCATCTAACTCTAAAAGCAAAAGTTAAAAGATGGCTACATTTCCCTCTGTTGTCAGTGCAAAAACATCCGATGTTAGCAGCGTTGACACTAGACATACTAGATAAGTTGTTTTTATTATAAAATGGCTTGGCATCTCTTATAAGTGGCTTCATGCACTCAGTGCCAAATGCTTTTGTTTTGCGTGCGAAACAAAACTTTTCAACTCTGAATTACAATATCTGGGATTCTGAGCACCCTGTAGAGGAGCTGAGCAAGCAAACAGCTGCTTGAGGGACGCTCTTCTGTCCAAACATCCTGTGACTCATTTGAAAATAATAAATGCTTTCAGCCTGGGGTTTTGCCTTGTAAAATGGCCAAATCCTGCAACCATTTAAATATTTTGAACTTGAGAGCCGTCCCTTCTCTTCCTTGTTTATTTTTCCTCTTTCACCAGAAATTTTATAATAATTTATGAAGTTCCCTGGAAAGGGCTTTTGGACTCATTCCTAGCCCCTTTCTGACACTGATGAAAATTAATGACACATTTTTCCAGCCTGCACCCAGAAAGGAAGTGCAAGCAATGGTGTTCTTTACTATATTAGATACCAGAAGTAAACATAGAATCAATGTCTTTCATTGTTTGATCACTTACTTTCTGACATATCACATATACCCGAGGTATGTATCATTTGTTTCTGTATCGTATGAGAAGGCTTGATCTTCCCCGATGCCTTTTCCTTTTCCTGAATTATTTGGTGATTCATATTTTTAGGTGGGCAAAGAATCCTTTTACTCTTTGCAAAGGTAAAAATCTCTCAAATTCAGGGATCTTATCAGCTCCATGCCAAACTCCGGGTGCCTGAACTCGGAAGCAAAAGTAAGACACAAATATCTTTATGGAGATTCTCAGTCATCCAGGTGAGGGGTCTCCAAACTTTCTGAATTTGTGGACTGCCGGGGGGGGAGGGGATGCCGCTTACGAAAATGGAACTTCCTACCGGTAATGGGCCATGATTGTAATTCTCCCTGTTTGTCTTAGGCTTTGTAGTTCATCAGTATCAGTTACCAAATCAAATTTCACTATCCTATCTTCAGTTGGAAGATTTAAAGTTACCATAAGTATCTTTCACCTAGTCCTTGAAGCTCCATGTGAAAATAAATGCATGATTCTTTAGGAATCTGCCTTATACAGCAGGACAGCCCAGTCTCACAGATCCTGAAATAAAAGCTTTGTCCCTTGGAGGAATTTCTTCTGAAATCCTTTTTTTCTTGTGCCAGTTTGAGTCCGTTTTAGTACTCGACCTTCCGTTCGAGAGTTTCTCAAACCACACCAAATTTGATCCAATTCTTTTCCATTCTGAGAGTTAGACGCTTAGCTGATGGTTCTCAAAATGCTGTTTTTTCTCTCCGATGCCCTAGAGCAGCAAGATTAAAAAAATCAGAGCTGGAAGGGACCTTAATAAGCTATCCAATCCCCATTTCTCTCGAACCAGCATAGTGAGAAGGTGAATGAAAAGAGGCAAAGGTGTCTGGAGGTATAACTAACCTGAGAAGGTGGACTGTCTCCCTTGCTTTCTTCACCAGCAGTGTTGTTGAGAGGTGGGATTCCTTCTGTCTCTTTTAGTGGGGATTTTTCAGCATTATCCATGCTGGAATTGGGGTCACTCTCTGATGGAAAAAAAAGGACATGGAGTCCGTGTTGAGAAAAGAGAGAGGCTTCACATTCACCTATAAAAAAGATGTTGAGACTCAAGAAACAGTGCAGAGAAGAGCAACAAAGATGATTATTGGACTGGAGGCTAAAACATTTGAAGAACGGTTGCAAGAACTGGGCATGACTGGTCTAGTGAAGAGAAGGACCAGGAGTGACATGATAGCAGTGTTCCAATATTTGACGGGCTATCAAAGAGAGTAGGGGATAACCTATTCTCCCAAACACCTGAAGGCAGGACAAGAAGCAATGGATGGAAACGAATCAAGGAGAGAAGCAATCTAGAACTAAGGAGAATTTCCCAACAGTGAGAACAATTAATCAGCAGAACAACTTGCCTCCAGACGTTATGGGAGCTTCATCACTGGAGGTTTTTAAGAAAAGACTCGATAGCCACTTGTCTTAAATGGTATTGGGTCTCCTGCTTGAGCCGGGGCAGGACTAGAAGACCTCCACGGTCCCTTCCAGTAATTCTATTCTATTCAATAATAACAGAGTTGGAAGGGACCTTGTAGGTCATCTAGTCCAGGGCTTTTCAACCTTTTCACCCATTGTACCACTTTTAGGATATGGCAACATCCGAGTACCACCAGTTGCCTAGCAAGGTGTCAAAAACTTGATGACCAAAAAAAGGAAAAAAGTGATAAAGTACAGGTAGTCCTCGACTTACAACAGTTCGCTTAGTGACTGTTCGAAGTTACAATGGCACTGAAAAAAGTGCCCCCCAAGCCACAGCCAAGCAAGACACCTGCCTGCCTGCCCAGCAGCGCTCTTCCTCCTGTCCGAGGTTTTCATTGTTGTGAGTATTTCTGTTGAGGATTGGCAGCAGGGATGGGGTGGGGGGGTGTTTGGTTCCCCCCACATCTACTGGGTGGTTGCAGCAGGTTTTGGTAATTTCATATGACCCTGGGACACTGTGACCGTCATAAATATGAATCAGTTGCCAAGCATCTGAATGTAAATCACAAGACCCTGGAGATGCTGCAACATTCCAGCTGATCGGCGCTTCTTCTGGGCTCAGCAGAAGCGCCAGGATCAGGGCCGAGCTCCAGCTGAGCCTGGCGCTGAGCCTGGCACTTCCACTGAGCTCTGACAGTCCCAAAGAAGCACTGACCCTGGCGCTTCCGCTGAGCCCTGACAGCCCTGCAGCTCCAGCCATCTCTCGCTCAGGCTTGTGCGGTGCTGTTGCCACCGGTTCAGGTCATTCCCCTCCCCCTCTACCACTTTTTTAGGATGGTCGCATACCACCTGCCAGGTGCCAATGTACCACAGGTGGTACCCGTACCACCCTCCACCCAAGCAGGATATCCTACACCATTTCTGACAGTTGGCAGTCCAGTCTCTTCTTGAAAGCCTCCAGTGATGGAGCACCCTCAACTTCTGAAGGCAAGCTGTTCCATTGGTTTATTGTTCTCACTGTCAGAAAATTTCTCCTTATTCCTAGGTTGAATCTCTCCTTGATCAGTTTCCATCCATTGTTCCTTGTCTGGCCTTTGGGTGCTTTAGAAAATAGGTTGTCCCCCTTCTCTTTTTGACAGCCCCTCAAATATTAGAACACTGCTATCATGTCACCTCTGGTTCTTCTCTTCACTAGACTAGCCATGCCCAGTTCTTGCAACTGTTCTTCATATGTTTTAGCCTCCAGGCCCCTAATCATCTATGTTGCTCTTTGCACTTTTTCCAAAGTCTCAACATCTGTTTTGTAATGTGATGATCTGTACCTGTACTTTTGGTTTTTCTTGCCTAAGTGTAAGACCTTACTTTTCTGTACATTGAATAATGTTTACTAATACGTTAGAATTTATGCCCTCCTTAATAAACAGAGCAGTATGTATCTTTCCCTGCCCTTTTTACAATGTTGTATGCAGGATTGACAGTGTTCACTAATTCTCTTTGCTTTACTTGGTGATGTTTACTCCTGGTCCACGACTCGGCGGAAAATCAGGCGGCGGCATGGGAGACAACTGCCGCCGCGGCATTGGACCGAGTCGTGCCTTCGCGGCCTCTGACCCGACGTGGATCTCGACCATCCCCTTGGTTTACCGAGGGGCTGAGAGAGATGAAACGTCGGAAAAGACGCCTAGAGAGCAGTTGGAGGACCAGCCGAACCGAATCCGCTCGAACACAGGTAAAGATACATCTTAGATCTTACCTAGTGGCGCTGAGGGAGGCTAGGACTAACTACTATGCCTCACTC